GGCGCACTGCAGCTAAGCCTAAGTAACCGCGCGAAAGTTCTCGGCTGGTGAGAACCGAAATTCGCTTGTACGCCCCAAATCGTCCTAGCGTCGCAGGCACCGCCGCGCTCAGCGGCGCGGCGGCCCCGCGACGGCGAGATAAAAACCAGACCGTTCGAAGTCTATAATTAATTAAGCCACCTGTCTTATGCGAGAGCGTCAACCGCGAACCGCCTAATGCCGCAACCGTGTCTCGGCAGATCAGTCCGCCGCGTGTGCGCGCGCGCGCGCGCGTCTACGCGGAGCACTCGGTCGTGATATTCCTGGCTTAACGCCGCCCTCATCAAAATTGTAATTAAACTCCATACACGTAGTTCTCGATTCGGGCGGCTAATGCGTTCGCGACAGCTAGGCGTGTAAATAAATTCGCGCGGAACGAGTACAAGCGTAATTCTCACACATTAAATGTTGGCCGATCCTTTGTTGGGCGCGCGGCACCAGTTTACGGATTTTCATCCGTTTTCCGCTCGCGGGTAGTTTTTTAACTCGCTAATTGCGCAAGCCCCGAGAATTACTCTTACACTTCCATCGTAAATTTAAACGAATTACTTTATTTTATGCGCCCCGTGGACGCGCGGCAGCGTCTGCGGTATGTGCGTGCCAAACATGACGAAAGAAGACACCAGCTATCGCGAGAAATGCTCGCGGACTAATCTCGAAAGGTCAGTAGAGGAAAAACCCCCTATTATGAGATAGGCTTCTACTCGGGCATCTAATACGAGATAGTAGGCTTTCAACATCCAAATTCAATCGCAAATCTTTTTCGCAGCGCTTACACAATTTAACAATAAACTCTCCACTGGATTTAACCTCCAGGACAATAAATTCCGAGGGGGAAACCGCTGAGGGCATTGTGGCGTACAGATTTGCGGCATTACCGGGCATTACTAGGACATTTTTGGGGCATTACGTCTTGCTGAGGCATTATAAAGATAAAATAAGATACAATAAGATAAAATAAGATAAAACAAGATAAATAAGATAAAAGAAGATAATAAGATAAAGTAATGCCCACTGGGCATTAGGTGTACAAGATTTTGGTCAGCGGTTTCCCCCTCGCTCAGCGGCTTGTACGACTTTGAAATAGTATAGGCATATGACACACGGACTTCGTTATTCTTACCTTAATTTTAAAACTCATGATCATAATATCGATTATATAGAATTTGTTTCCATAATTAGTGTCTTTAATAAAATAAATTATCGAGTACATATAATAGAATTTGCTTCCATAATTAATATCTTTAGTAAAGAAAAATCGGACTATTCGTCAAAAGACGAGATAGCTTTAATGCCAAGGAAGAAAAACTGAAAAGCAAGCGAAGAGATTTCTCCAGTAATTTTTTTTTAGAAAAAAAAACATAATATTTTCTAATTTATATAATAGAATAATTTATGCACGGTATAGGAATATAGATTTTCATTCACATAATGGATTAACCATCAATAAATTTGTACGAAACGGCAAACGACGAACATATTAGTTGCTCGTTCATCCAGCGTGGAAAGTACTTGGCACGCTGATCTAGAAAAATCAGACTAGTTATCCTGAAAGCGGCAAATCTGTGGATTCCCGCTGCCTCTCCCCGGACATTCATCCCTGTGTTCTCCCCGTCTCGAACCCTTCGTCCTCGCCTCCTTCTCGGCAAACACAGCAATCGTCGAAAAAGCGCCGAGAGAAATCAAATGAGTTTGCGCGGGAGTGACAATGGAGTTTCGCGACTGTAATCAAGCTACTGTGAGCCGCGCGGGAAAGGGGCCGCCGCGAAGGGTGCGGGGGGAGGTCCTGCGCATTTGAATTTCCACGCAAAGGGAAACGAGGTACCACCGATAGCGTCTAGAAATCGTCCGCGGCGCGACGATAGAGACATTGAATTAAGCACGATGCAGACCCTTAATTAAACGCTCGAAATTGAGCCATCGATTAAATACCCTCTCTCTCTCTCTCTCTCGCTTTCTTCCCCTCCCCCCCTTCTCTTTCTCTTTATGGCAAGAACTCGCACCCTTTTTCAGCGCGGGAAACCAAAACGTCTGAATTATCGGCGCGAATTCGTCGTCCGATGATCCGTTCCCGGACATGAATAAAAGATTGCGGACGGCGAGACGTAAAAACGACGCGTAAAAAGATTTTTGCGCAAAATTTTCATGAAAGACTGCACATAATATATATATATTTATTTTCATTGTCAATATAATCTTGTCTCTTAACCTTCAAGCAGAGATTTTCTTCCGCTCCTTCTGCCTCATAATTCTAAATAATCCCGGAAGGTGGCAGATTATCTTATCTTTACTACTTGTCGATGCACAATATTTGTTGGTTACTTCAATATAATAAATTTTTGTCCGCCCATAGATTATAAATATTTAATATTCCAGCCGGTTTAACTACGAAAGAAAAGAAAAGAGCTTTTAAGGCTATCCCCTTACCATCGTGCACACAGAATATAATCCTTTACGAGGAGGATAATCCCGAAATATGATAATTGCGCAAGTGCATTCGAAGTTTCCCTTAGAAACCCATGACGCTAACCCTAGTAATTAAAACAGTTTCGCGTGTAAAATGCGCTATAAACGCGAACGCCGCGCGAAAACGGAGAGTGATATAAATATCCCTCGTCGTTAAGGGACTGTACGTGTAAGCGGGAGGATCGTGCGGTGGTAATGGAGAACCTGGGAAAAACCATCGATCTAGAACCTCGTGTTACCAATTCGCGCTGTCGTTATTTCACGCCACTTGCTCGCGACTATTGTCATACGGTGGAGCAAACAATATACCGCGATTGCGACAAGTTTCCACCTCGTTTGTCGGTAAACCGAAAAAGTCAACTTTACGCATCGCGGCGCGTGAGAAGCGGCTCTTTCTCGCGAGTCGCCCCAACTGCTACGCCCTTTTCGATGGAAAGGACCGTCGTCGTTTGAGATTCAGGGCTTCGCTCGGGCGCGACTCAAACTATTCCGTAATCGCCCGCTGTAAGGCTAATCTTACACTTGTACGACAAATTTTTCACGTTGATTGGTTCCAGGATAATATAGTTCGCGAATATCTAGAAATTTTCTGTCCTGCAGCCAATCAACGTTCTTAAAAGGTGTCGTACGACAAGTGTAATACCAGCCTAAGCGATAGTGTGAGATTTTTCTCAGTACAGATGCACGGCTCCTACGTGGCTCGATCCTATTAACGCGATGAAAGGCGCGAATTGACGGACAATAACAAGAGCCATTCTACAATGAATTGATCGTTAGTCAGAAGTCAGGACTAAAGCCCTGTGTCCACGGTCCAAGAACTGTGTCCAAGTTTTAGTTCCGAAAAATGTGTAACCGATCAACTTGGATCTTTTACGGATAAGCTGCAAGTTGATTGGCTACACGTTTCTCGGAACTACAACTTAGGCCGGTATTACGTTTGTCTTGTACGACACGGCTTTTAGGAACGTTGACTGGCTGCAGGATAAAAAATTTCTAGATACTCGAGAACTTTACTAACCCGGATACCAGTCAACATGCTTGAAAAATTTGTCGCACGACAATTTGAACACAGTTCTTGGATCGTGGACGCGGGGCTTGAACGAACTTTGAACCTTTTTCGTACCGGGCGAAGCAGCCTCGGTTTTCGATTAACGACTAATAAACTCGTGGCAGAGACGCGTCTCCCATTGCGACAACTTGTCATCCGATTCCGCGCCTCCGCGCGTCAACAACGAATGATGAAAGAAACAAGAAACGTATACGATAGAGTGCGGAATACGAGCGCTCGGCGTCGTCGACCGCGCGTTGTTTCCGCGTGTGGTCCGCGCCGCGAGCGTCGAAACGCGACGATGTAAGCAGCGGGGGGGGGGGGGAAGGGGGGAGAGCGACGGGGAGACTCTTCTCGTTTTACACGCGCGTTAATCGTCACCCTCGTTTTTCAGCTGTAACCAGCTGGAGTCGGGAAGCGCGAAGCACCGCGGCTTCTTGGCGAATTGCCGCCCCGAGAGCGAGAAAGTATCTTGCTGCGAATGTTCTTATACGACATTTTTGTACGAGATAATGCAGTTTCGCGATAACGAACTTGAAAGATGCTTCTTCGCGGTTTCTAAAGCCGCGTCTTCTCCCTCTCTCTCTCTCTCTCTCTAAAAAAAAAGGCGCCGTTTTGCAACGAGCTAGCGTCAGTTTTATAGACGAACTTCTATCAATTTCTAATGCGTATCATTTTACATCCGGCCTTCCGATATATCACGTTGCAATAAAACGTGACGATTTCATTTCGCGAAAATACATCGAGATAACGAAAGCTCTTACAGTCTTGCGAAATAATATACGCGCGGCGCAGATAAAAAGAATTGAATTTAGATACGCAATAATAAAATATGCGCTTATTGTTAGAGTACACGTTTCGAGTACGTTCCATTTAACGCCCGCAACGCTCTTGGAATCATTTCGTCCTTGTTTGGCAAATGTTGAATAAGGACGAACGATGCTCGCGAGCGCTACATGAGCGATACACGGAACGTACCTTTTATTATCGAAATATTGTTTCGGAAGAGAGAACGACGGATTCACGACTGTACCGAGGGCACGATTTCGCTCTAACGGCGACTTCCGAAAAAATATCCGCGTTTATTTGTTAAACCTCTAATGGGGCCGGATGCGACCCTCGGGTCTTGCTGCAATTCACTTGTTCCGTAAACAAAGATACGATAAACAAGGATACAAGTTTCCTCTTCCCGTGCGCTTTTCTTATCCACCTTAACCGAAAGAAGGCGCAAAACAAAACGGCTCGGACCCGACCCCACCTCGCCAAATAACGCTCTAAGAGTGCACCTTTACTACTCGAGGGTCAATGCGACGGAAACGTCAACAACGTGGAACGCTTTACGCACGCACGCCCACGGGTCTACGTATCGGAGAGGCAAGAGTTACGCGGGCGAGATAGTCTCTCGGCTGTCGTTCCGATACGACGGACGCACGCAGCTTCCGCTTACCTGTAATCGCCAGGAGAGCGACGGCGGCTTCTAGCCACAGGTGGCAAGTCTTCATCTCGACGGCGCGCACGGCAAGCTCCGGCGGTCCCTCGGCGATCAACCACTCTCTCGGACTCGCGGCGGCACACACTGAGGCTCACCACTCGCGCGCGGCGACGGCGGGTCGAGTCGCGTCAACGAAACTACGCGAAACTACGCGGCACCATATCCGTCCCGCTCGCACGGCTCCGTTCCTCCTCAACCTCGGTACGAGCCCCGGTCGCACGAGCGGAATCGTCGAGCGCGATCGCACCGGGCGACGTGCCCAAAGTCACCACTCGTATCGCGCGCACCAGCCGGACTGACGCGCCGCGCCGCGGGATTCCCCGTCACGGACCGACTCGCGGCGAACTTCACGCCGGATCGTCTCGATCTCTCGCGACGGCTCGACAGCGGTCGAATTCAAATCGGCGGGCCTGCCTCCTCCTCGCGCGCGCTTCGCGGTGCTTCGAAAACTTTCCCCCCCGGGCCTCCGCTCGCGCCTTCCCTTCTTTCGCGCCTTTCTGCTCTTCCTCGCTTCACGCGCGGCGTCGATCGGCGATCGACTCGCGGGCCCGCGTCAACGGCGAGCGTAATCGATCAACCGCGTGCGCCGGCGAGCGCGGCGCGAGCACGAACGCGGGATTTTAAGCACCGTTGACAGGGTAATTGCACGTATATCTGCACTGGATTGCGACGGACGAGACTGAGCGTCGCCGCGCGAAGCCGTTCCGTCGCGAGTCGCGCCTGCGTCGACCGCCCTTTCATCCCCACCAGCGCGCGCCGACGATCTCGCAGCTTCCAACGTCTTCCCCCTCGCTCCTCTCCGCGCCGCGCCGCCGACACCTCCTCCCTTCGCTCCCTTCTCCTCCCTTCGGGCGCGCTCGCCTCGCTCCTTCGCGCTCTTCCTGCGTCTCTCGCGCGGCGGGCTTCATCCCGCTTTCACCGGGAACGCCGCGATCTCGTTTTCTCGTCTTCCCTCCTGACGCTTACTTCTCGAACGGCGCGCACACACACACGCGCGCGCGCGGGCGGACTTGCCCCCGAAAGCCCGCGATTTTATTCCGCGCCTCCCTTCGCGCGCGACGAGGGCGGTGTCGGCTGCCGACGGTCCCCGAGACCTTCGGATTCAATTTGTCCGAAAGTTTCTTTTTTTTTTTCGTCGGATGAATGCGGTTTGTTACGCGTGTGTCGCGTCGCTGGACCGGCGTCAGGGCCGTTGCCGGCGCGTGAGTCGCTTCGCGCGGATTATCTTTCCGAGGATACGCGTCCTTGTTGAATTTCAGTCCCGCGTTATTTACGGCGCGCGATTAAACTCGGGTAACAGGCTGACGTTGTTTGTCGTCATATTGGCGTCAGAATGACGACAAATAGTTGTTAATCAGCTCGCCACCGGTGAGAGAGACGCGACGTCACGTCCGTCTCGTCTTGTTCAAATTCAAAGCTCGATCGGCCACCTGAATTGTTCTGCGATTTATTGCAATTCGTGTGTGTGCGCGCGACACGCAAACGCTCAGGTTTGAGATGCTCGAACAGTTGATAATGAAACAATTGTCGTAATAAAAGGAGATAAGAGCGAAGACAATATCGCGATGCCTTTCATGCCTTTCGATCCCTCGGGGAGTACTGTTATGTGGCTTCCCCGCAAACTAATTCTTTCTTAAACTGTAGTCGCTCTTTCGCATCGAGAATGTTTATGAGGTGATACTTTTCGCAGCAAGTTCTTTACGGTGATTTTCAGGCGGAATGCATCAAAAATTTAAATTGTCGATTTAACTACGTGAATTTACTGTTCCAGCAAATAAAGGACTGTATCTAAGACCGATAAACAATCGGCGCGCAGCTCACCCAGTTGGAAATAGTAGAAAAAAAGTCTCTTGTTCCGAGAGACTCTTAATATGAGATAGCGGAGTTTCTGCTAAATTAATAGGCGTTACCTGTTGGTTCCATCATAAATTTATTGAAGTAAAATGTTTTTAATGGAAAGTTCATTGTTAGATTGTGTAATCATTGCGAGAAAAGATTTGTGGCTGAATTGGGACGTTAAAAATCTGCTAATCTCTTATATTAGAGGCCTATCACATAATGGGAGACTCTCCTGTATACAAAATTGACGCATGATTATTATTAGGCTAAAATGGCACGTTATTCGTATTTGATTGGATTAATATCGGCCCTGTTTCACTCAATCGCTTAAAAGTGCTCATGTTGTTTATATCGATCGGTTTACTTCTAGTTTGCCGCGTAAACAAATTAAAATGCCGCAGTTTACTCCGTTTATTATCATACATTAACGACGTAAAATGCAACAGATTTCGATCGCGCTGTTGGAGATGCTAACGAGGCAGAGTTAAGCCAACGGGATACTATCTTTCCTACTGGATTGCTCGCGAGAGCCAATAAGAACGCAGAGTTTTAGGTCAGATGACTTAAGGCTGTATCCTGATTGGTTCTCGTAAGCAATCCAGCAGGAAAAATAGCATCGCGTGACGCTGGCTTTATTCGTACAGCTCCACGTTTGGCTCGGTCATGGCAAAAAGGTCAAAAATTACGAACATGTCTCTCTCTCTCCCCTCCCTCCCCCTTTTATAATTAAATCGATACATTTTCCTTGGCAAATTACATAACGATACTAAAACCCAAATCGCAAATTTTATGAAATTCTTTTATCTTTAATTTTATACTAAATTAAAATTATAAACACCTAAAGAATGTAGGTACGCGGAAAAGTATTTATAAAAATTGGCGTCCCCCCCTCTCTCTCTCTCTCTCCCCTCCCTCCCCTTTTATAATTAAATCGATAAATTTTCCTTGGCAAATTACGTAACTAAAACCCAAATCGAAAATTTTATGAACTTCTTTTATTTTTTAATTTTCAACTAAATTAAAATTATAAACGCTTAAAAAATGTACGTGGAAAAGTATTTATAAAAATTGGCGTCCCCCCCTCTCTCTCTCTCCCTTCCTTCCCACTCCTATAATTAAATCGATAAACTTTCCTTGGCAAATTACACATAAGGATACTAAAACCCAAATCGAACATTGTATGAAATTCTTTTACTTTTTAATGTTCTACTAAATGAAAATTATAAACACTTAAAAAATGTACGTGGAAAAGTATTTATAAATATTGGCGTTCCCCCCTCTCTCTCGTCTTAATTCCGCGCGGGGAAAAAAATGCGATTTACTCCGCATCTGCCGTCATACGTCGAACTTCCGCGAGATACGTCATGGAAATGTGTATCCACGTTGTTCCCGGCTGCTTCCCGGAATTGATCCTCGGCAACGCGGATTGCGTTGCCCGCAGGCACCACGAACTGCGTAATGACGTATGCTGATCGCTCGCTCAGGGCCTCGTTTCGAAAACACTGTAGCACGATATACAGAGTACGATATTCAGTAGGAAGCGTACCAGAGACCGGCATAATGTATCCATGTTAGAGACCCATGGATCGTAGACCGAGTGGCTTAATTTTACTGATGCCACTGAAAATGGCTTTGTAACGAGCACGTCGGACGCTAATGCCGCGGCTTCTAACTAACGGACGCAAGAGGATTCGTTTGTCGTGTCGTGTAAAAACTTCCGATATAAATCCTCTGCGTGAATATCCGCGATGCGTAATTTCTCGACTGAAAAGGGGCTAATTCATTTCGACGCAGACAAACGTGTAAAATACCATTAAAGGATACGATAAAATGAATAAGATGCCATTGGTACATACGTAGGTCTACTATTGAATCCCAATATTGCACCCCTTTGTGCTACTCTGGCAATTTTAGTTAAGAACGAGCAGATATTTCAACACACAATAGTGCGAGCTAAAGCGTTACGAGCCTCATCCCTCAAGTATTTCATTTTTCGATCAATCGCATCGTATAACTCCGAAGAACAATGTGAAAGACACGCGTTAACCTTGACAAAAAATTCCAAGACGATATTAAAGAAATTAATTTATGTGCGTACCAAAACTATACCCAAGGAATATAGGACTAAGAGCCACGGCGGGATGTTGGTGTCTAAATAATTTTTATTTTAAATTTATTGCGAAAAGAAATATTTTTTACCTCAGCCAGGTTTTCAACCTGGACCTTCCCTACTTTCTAAATGAGCGTTTCACCAATTCGACCACTGAGGCATGTGGTAATACCGCAATAAACACTCTAAAGGCCGAATCAGACTAGCAATTGTCGACGCGGATTGGATTGGGATTGGCGATTGGCGATTGTTTTGTAGCCAATGAGAGCGAAGCAACCAGCGATTTAATCGACTCTCACTGGCTAGAGGTCAATCGCCAATCCCATCCGAGTCGGTAATTGCTAGGCTGATTCGGCCTTTACATTGTTTCCCCGAATGCCACATGTCGTGACTGTATTCGAAACTAGAACTGCGCGCCGACTTAAATCGTCAGCCTTAAGACACGGAACAATCATGTATCCCCATTATTACCCTCCCACCCGCCCAAATACCTTATGAAATCGAGAAACGCATATTACGTCCGGTTAATTTTAACAATTAATAAAATTCATAAGGTCCATATTATAATAAACATAAAGGAATATAGAACAAGACGCAATATTAAAGAAATAAATTTTATGGAATAGCTGCAAATTGATTGGCTAAACATTTCTCGAAACTAGAACTTGGACCAAGTTCTAGCATCGTGGACACGGGCCTTAACTGATGTCATTTCGAGCAGATTTTACACTGCCAACCATTATACTCTGACACGATAAAAAATACAGGGTGTTAATGAATACCTGCCACAAACTTCTAGGGCATGTAGTGGGTTCAAAGTAGACCAACTTTTAATAAGGAACTCATGTCCGGAAACGCACCGTACGAGCTGCAGACTGGAACTGTTGGTATTTCAGTAATAGGAACAATTTTCATAATAACTTTATTCGCTTACATTACATTACCAGAATGTTTAGCAATGATGGCTACAACCCATCTGTCCCTAAATACTTGGCTGATGTAGTCTCGGATGATGAGCGAAAAGTGCGGTAGCGCACCGTCTTGTTGCCACCGCATCTGTTGGCGACTTTCGAGTGGTGCGTCTTCCAAGAAATCTGTGAGCATTTGTTGTAGCCAGTTTTGAAATTGCTAAATATTCTGGTAATGTAATGTAAGCGAATAAAGTTACTACGAAAATTATTCCTATTACTGAAATACCAACAGTTCCAGTCTGCAGCTCGTAAACGGTGCGTTTCCGGACATGAGTTCCTTATTAAAAGTTGGTCTGCTTTCAACCACCCTACATGCCCTAGAAGTTTGTTACAGGTATTCATTAACACCCCGTATAATGAGAAATTATTGTCATCTCTTACAAATGTAGAAAAAAATAATTTTGTAATTCTCTAGAAATTGCTTGACGAACGTTCCTTAAAAACGGTAAAATGTTTGAGGCCGTCCGAGATGCCGCGGCAATGGATTACGCAAATAGAATCGCGCGTCTTTAACGCGCGCTAGGCAAATTGTGAAAATTTCATTAAAATAAGTATATCATCAATAACGCCGTATCTCGATTCATCGCGCTCCGAAACTTCAACTTACACCACTTTCGGGATTAACAGCTCTATTACCCCGGCGAAACTTAACCGCAATTCACGCCGCGGTATCTCGTACATCTCATTAATCGAGCGATTACACGTTTAATGAAGTGCGAACGTCTAAAATGTACTTGGAGATTAATTGGGGCGCGACTATTCTTAGA